CGAAAATCTAGAGTTTGTGATCAATCAATGCTCGAAACTCATCGATTCCAATCTCTATTTTGTATTTTCTGCAATCTAACTGAATGGTATGCAAAAAATCAATGTCAAGCGAGGATTCAAAAAATTTTCGTGATAAATATTGATTTAACATCGTCAAGTTGATACCAAGTTGACAGTTACTAAATTTTAAAAGTCAATACACTATTTTACAAAGAATTTACAGCTACCTTTATCTTTCAAACTAACATAATTATTCCAAATATTTAAAAAAGTTAAATCAGTATTTTCGTAAAAAGTATCATTATTGTCATACTTGAAGTTAATACCCTTGCATTTGCTGGTAACTTAGCTGAAGATGTAACGTGTTCATTGGGCTTTTTGGCAAAAAGGAAGCAGACAGAGAAGAATGTTTTTGCATCTTCAGGACGCTGTTATCGATTTGATCATAAATATTATCTTAAACCGTGGGTTTACAGAATTTACCTTTACCGGAAGTACGTAATCATATTGGACGAATGGATAGAAGAGAAGGTCATAATGAAATTGATTCCAGTATCCTCAGAGTAGTAGGCGATGTCGAACCAACTGGGTTTGTAAAGAATATTGATCATAATGATTTAGAAAAATATTGCTGTTGAAAACGATAATATTGGTGTTCATTTATGCAAATCTGGCTACCATACACGTGTTAATTGTGGTTTTCTAAGAGCGTATAGTGCCCTCTTTTTTGATGCAATTGAGTTACGTATGTTATAGGTGTGGATAGTAATATTACAGTATTAGAGATTTCGGAGGACCCGTTTATCATCACTATGATCGTGGTCGTGTGAGTGTATATGGTATAATCAGTAGTATTATAGGAGATATCACCTTATCGACAGACGTAGATGCAATTCTTAAACAGACCAACTTGCAATTTGTTGATGTCTATGGAGATGTGTTTAGATTTTATTTTTGTATTATCCTCATGGTAGATTTATGCATGAGGACGAAACTGAATTTTCAATGAATTTTGGAAAACAAAACCTGAAACCGAAACAGAAATTTTAAAATACGAAATTGGTTTACTTAGAACCCGAAGTTTCTTGACAAGTTTTTTTTTTAAATTCTTTGACCAATTTATATAAAAAATTTTTTCTTTGCTTTTGTTTATTCACTTAAAAAAAATAATTTCTAACAAAGACGAAATTGGCCTTGTTTTGAAAATCAATTTCAGGAATATGTACAGGTTAGATATTAAAAATAAATCGGCATTGTTAAATCACACAAGTGGTGTTTAACACCACAGTAGTTATGTCTCAAAAACACTATCTAAATAATCAAGAACTAGATGTATTAGTAAAATGTTTAGCATCCCAAAAAACTTTACCCAACTTTATTTTTAGCTTTGATTTTTATTCTATAGCTACTAATTTATTCCCTAACCTTTAGTATTGACAATAAAATTATAATAAAAAATTATATGAAAAAAAATAGCCGAACACTATTTTTAATAGGGAATGGAAACCACATAAAATTTTATCTGTTTGACAATATTAACCTTTAATTCAGACTAGGGATGAGCTAAATTGATTACGTTCGATTGTTTAATATTTTTGAATTTTTTGTAGATAGAGAATTATAAGGATTTTGTTGTAACTAGTCCCTATCACGTGATCATCATTACAAACTACGTATCCGCAAAGCATATAATTTTTTTTTGTGAAATTTGGTCTCTAAAAAATTATGATCAGCGTTTTGCATAATCTCAGTACAGTACTGTACTGTACGCAAAACGCCGATCATAATTTTTTTAGGGGCCAAATTTCAAGTTTCGGGTTTTCACTCTCCCGCACTCATCTCTTTAATGGATCAAGAATGTGTGACTAATTGTTTTGAGCCTCGTTATTTTTTTAATAATGAGAATGTTCCATTCCGCATCTGGAACAATAAAACGTGGTACATAATCGCTGAAGCAAAAGTTCCCTTTCATAAAGATGTATTTCAAAAAGTTATTGTGTGTACCATTTTAGATTTGTTTTTCATTATTCACAAGTAAATTTTTTTTGACAAAGTTATATATTTACAAGCTTATTTATTAGGAACGCTGGACAAAAGAAGTTCATTTGATAATTCCGCCCATAGAATACGCTGAAATAATTAATGACACTGATTTTGAACGTAGTGATACAGATCACAATGAATTGCACGAAGAATCTTTAATTATTAAACCTGTAAGGACAATTATTAGAAGGTTGATACCAAAGAGAAAAGACAAAGATGATGAACTAGAAGAATCAGTAGAATATTATGAGTGCATTGGTGGTATATATAATTTATTTTTTTTGGTTGTATGATACCAATTTAAAGAGCGAATGTGGGCTTAATCAGCTTTTTTATATTATTAGAAAATCGTGTAGTTTACTCGCCGATTATAAAAAGTTCTCAAGAGTCTGCAGAAGCCAATATTCCATTTTATTATCCAAAAGTAAGAAAAGAAATATTAACTAATTATATTAGTTGCTAATTAGAATTCACTAAGTACAAATTTCGCGGTTTATTTATTTATTTATTTATTTGATGAAATAGGTATCATGCCTTAGCTATGTTTATTCAGAATATAAGAGAGTTTACAATACAGATATGGCAGATTACAATGGTTTAGATGATAATGATTATCAATCTTGGATATATATAGAGATTGTTCCTTTAGCATCATTTAGCAATATACTTCATATCTCTGACAAAATGGTTAAGTATTTCATATTTTTTGTATAATATAGGGTATTATAATGCACGTACCAATTTTGATATATCATGACTCATCAACTTACTTTTGCAAGAGATTTTTTGTAACAAATAAATCGATCTTAGTGCATTAAATAAGATTCTTACAGCGACAAATTCCACGTAACTTCAAAATTATGAAGATCAACCTACTTTTTATTAATTTATTTTCGAGTTGTATGTTTTGGTATTAAAAAAATATGCCACATAAAAAGTGAAAATTTATTAATGAAAATTTTCACTTTTTAATGTGTTACAGTTATTCTTGGTAAAAATCTAGACAACAATGTTTCTTGCTTAAATGATAATATTTTTGTACCATTAGATTCGTTTCATCGAGACGAATAAAATGGCTTGATATTGTTCGATTCTGGTAGATGAGTCGCGAGATATCTTAAATAGTGCTTTCATCATAATTAGTCAATTATCTTACGTATATACTCATATTAATATTTTTTACATAATTTGCTCAGAAATATGCATACACACAATTATTTAAAAAATTATTCAAATGGTGTTATAATACATCTATTGGCTACCAAAAACGGGTTCATCATGATTTACTGGTACCAAAAGATTTATACATGCAAACATATAAATATTTAAAAGAAAAATATGCACGAGAATTGGTCAGGTAACTTACTTTTATGCATATACGTTATTATGTATTTCTGCATTAACTTGGAATTTTATATATTTATTTAATAGAAATTGGACAGAGAAGACAGATCCAGCAAAATTTGTATTTGAAGACATTGCGATTGCAAGTTGGTTAATTTCATTATGGACGTTAGAAAGACAAGAAAATTGTCAAACAAGGTATGAAAAAACGTGATTATTAAAATGTTTTAATACTTTGTTTAATATCAATTTTAATGTTCGGGTTAATATTGTGCTTAGGTTACAGTCATTTGTTGATTTAGGATGTGGAAATGGTTTGTTGACCTTTCTGCTTACGTCAGAGGGACATGAAGGAATGGGCATTGATGTGAGAAAAAGAAAAATATGGGATGTGTTTCAAAATAAAGGAGCTAAATTGATAGGTATAGCACAATATTAAAAAGATTTTATATGTCATAACGTTGGTTAATAAATTTATGATATACTGTAATTTATTTAGTTGAAACATTGCAGCCAAATGTTGTAACTTATCCGAATGCAGATTGGATAATTGGAAACCATGCTGATGAACTCGTTCCTTGGTAAATTTATAATTTATGATCTACAGTTCTTTTAAATGTTTATTTATTTTAATTTCTAATATATTTAGGATACCAATAATAGCTGCAAGATCTTCAGATAATACAAAGTATGTGTTTTTATAATTTAATTATTTACTTGATGTATTTAATATTAAAAGTATGCTAAATCAATTATTAGTTTTATGGTAATTCCATGTTGTTTTTATGCACTTTCTGGATCAAAGTATACTTTTGCAAAACAGATAATTTCTAGTGGAAAGTATAAAGCGTATCAAGAATATATTCATGAAATAATTAATAAATGTGGATTTATTGTTGAATATGATTGGCTAAGAATACCTAGCACAAAAAATGTTGCCATAGTAGGTAGGAAGAGAAAAAAGAATAACCAAGGTAAACTGCTTTTTTAATACAGTGAATTGCATAAATAGTTCGTGATAACTAATTAACATTAAATACATAATAGATCAGATAGATGAATTGTTACAAAGTATTGGCTCTGGTATAATCTTAAGGTCAGATTTATAATAATAAATATAATTACGAAAGATCCTATAATCGGCTGGATAATTTTTGCCGGTTTGGAATACTAGATATTAAAAAATCTTATATTTTACCAATTAATTTCATACAATTCTTATACACTTTAAGAAGTTAACAATCTACAAATATTCTCTAATAAATTGCGTATAATCCTTGATGTATAAACTGGAGTTTGATATACTAAACCTGTAACATAAAAAATTGATCCAATAATATTTTTTTTGTGATATATAGAATTTAAGATTGGATTACAGCAGATCAGTATAGTACAAATTAAAAAAAAAACCCCCGTAATACATTGGCTAAAAGATCCAAGTATGCATTGTACTGCAAAGGATATACAGTATGTCGCAAGAAAGGAAAATTCGAATACATTGCATTTATAATAAGCAGTTTAAAAATTTAAACATTAATAGACTACATTTTACGTTTTGATCTAGATATTTTACGGGAATGTTAAGAAAGAATTAAATTAATTTAGTATTTAATTCACAAAATATATAAAAGATGTAATTCAAATTAATAATTATACATGTGTGCCTAAATTGCCCATCTTAATAAAAAAGGAATTACAGCATTTAGGTAGCCGAAATTAGACTTATATAGTGCCGAAATTAATTTCATATTTGAAGAAATTATTGCCGAAATTTTTTGAACTCTTTTCATCAAAATTCATCATATACTGTAGTATAGTTATTTCGGAGGTTTTAATATAAAAAATTTAGCAATGCTGAAATCTTTGTCGAGAATACTTTTTTTCAAAAATAATTTCGGCACACATGTATAATAATTATACATCATATTTGACCGTTTAGTCGATTATAAAAATCATTATTTGTTGATTTACTGAGAATTGGTGAGTTTTTTATGTTAAACATTTCTATAGCATTTCTATAGTTTTAGTCATGTTACATTAGTCTTTACATAACCTTATTACATTTCCAAGTACACAATAGAGTGTTCTTGCTCCAATGAAGAATTGTTTTATAAAAGTTCAATCACTTGTTTTAATATTTTTAAATAAAATTCGCTGAATTCATTAATCGAACTCTTTGTCGTCTGGATTCGGAAAGGTTGGAACCTTTAATGAAGCGAAGCTACAAATTGCAGAATTATTCGCCAACAAACCTACGCACCTCTTTTGATCACGCAAGTTGACCAATCATAATTTGTTATAAACAATATAATATTAATTTTATTAGAGTATTAGATATTAACGCACATGCGCTAAATTATAAAACTGTTTCATTAAAATTAATGTTATAAATTTTGAAAAAATAATCATTGAATTTGAAACAATAGAAAACAAAGATTAACTTTCAAAAAAAAAAAATATATATATAGTGTGAAACTAATTGTATCACGTTCCTAGTTTTAGTGTCGCGCAGTTACCCTAATGTTGTAATAAGAAATCATTAACGTAATTTGATTGGATATGATGCATTTCACGCGACAAAATAATATTCGTTGAATAAATTTATTGGGCCCATATTCTACCTAAATCTTTTTGAACAATTGGAATGGTCCAAATAAAGTCCATTCCAATTGGTATAATTTTGAGATTACGATGCTGTTAAGAAAGCAGTAATTTTCTATAATGAGCTTTTTTTCTTCCAAAACTGTCAGTTCGTTATAGAAAGAATTGATTTCCATTTTCTATTTTTTTTCTTTTGTTTTAAATAAATTCACGCCGACTCTATAACGAACATAATCTTTTGAATCTCATGATAGTTTATCATCAAAAGTGCCATGTTGAGATTCGATTTACATAACAAACGTAAATTGCGTAAATCTGTTATAAATAATAATCATTACTTCTAATTATGAATATGTATACTTGTATTTTTATAAGATTTGCCTTGCTTGTATTTCGAATCTATAACCATTCTGCAAATATTTGATTTGACTAAATTAAAAGACTCACTGAATTAGTATGACGATTTCTCCTGTTTGATTTAAATACAACGTTTCACATTGGTTATATATACCGGAGGAAAACCTTCGTATACTAAATTCATTGTTATAAATTTCAAAATAACGTTACTGAACAAATTCCTTATTAATTCAATCTAATCATTAATTCCTTCCAAATGTTAATGTTACCGAATGAGTGCCTTTTTGAAATTTACGAACTGATTATAATACCTTATTTTCGTGCCTTATTATAAATCGCTGATGGTGTAGAATTATTATACCTATTTTATGGAGTGAACCTACAAATTATTTTAGTGATAAAAGACTTATCAGAATATATCTTTTAGCATTAAATGCAGATGAACAGGCTCAGTTGATTCTCTTTAAAATTATTCTTCCAAATTATCCAAGGCCATTATTTGAGTACGGAAGTTATACTACATCTGTTGGTCCTTATTTGGCTGAAGGTGTCAAAAATTGGCTTAAAATGAAGAATATAATGTAAATCGTTTCGAATATAATGATAAACTTGCAAATGCTATCAAATGCTCTTTAGTTGCAATGTTTCTGCGATCAAGTAAAAATCTTAAACATTTAACACTTAAGAATAATAAACCAATATTAGCAAGCATACTTTGCAAGAATATTACGCGGTCTTCTTTGAATCTTGAGCATTACCTTAGACCAGAAGAAAGAAATACATTAGTAGATGCACTTTGCAGGAACATCACGCTGACTTCTTTGAATCTTAGGTCGAATAAAATTGGATCAGAAGGAGGAAAAGCATTAAGAGATGCACTTTTCAAGAACGCTGTGCTGATAGATTTGAATCTTGGTAATAATAACCTTGGATCAGAAGGAGGAAAAGCATTAGCGGATGCACTTTACAAGAACATCACTCTAACCTCTTTGAAACTTAGTATTAATAATCTTGGGGCAGAAGGAGGAAAAGCATTAGCAAATGCGCTTTACAAGAATATAACGCTGACTTCTTTGAGTCTTAGTAATAATAATCTTGGGGCAGACGGAGAAAAGCATTAGCAGATGCACTTTGCAAGAACACCACCCTGATTTCTTTAAATCTAAATTAGAATAATCTAGGAACTGAAGGAGGAAAATTATTAATAGATGCACTTTACAAGAACATTACACTGACTTCTTTGAATCTTAGCTATAACTATCTTGGATCAGACATCGGAGAAGTATTAGCAGATGCACTTTGCGAGAACACTACGCTAAAAGATTTGAATCTTGGTAATAATAAACTTGGATTAGAAGGAGGAAAAGTATTAGCAGTTGCACTTTGCAAGAACATCACGCTGACTTCTTTGGGTCTTGGTTATAATAATCTTGGCTTAGAAGGAGTCAAAGCATTAGCAGATGCACTTTGTAATAACGCACGATGATTTCTTTGGATCTTGGCAATAATAATCTTGGATCAGAAGAAGGAAAGGCATTGGCAGGTGTGCTTTGCGAGAACACTACGCTGAAAGATTTAAATCTTAGTTTATAATTGTTTTGGAGCCGACGTCGGAAAAGCATTAGCAGATGCACTTTACGAGAACACTACACTGAAAAATTTGAATTTTGGTAATAATAACCTTAAATCAAAGGGAGGAAAAGCATTAGCAGATGCACTTTGCAAGAACATTACGCTGACTTCTTTGAATCTTAGATTTAATAAAATTGGGCCAGAAGGAGGAAACGCATTAGCAGATGCACTTCGCAGAAACGGCACCCTGAAAAAATTGTAGCTATTTTACTATAGAATCTGTTATAGAATCTAATAATCCAATTATTAAAATAATAGAATAAATTGTATAAAGTGCAAATATAAATGTAAATGTTAGCTAAGATAAAATATAATAATTGTCAATAGGGTTAAAAAAGTTAAAATATTAAACAAATACGTATAGTGCATACAAGCTAAAGACGGATTGTTACACAAACCTGTTTCAAATTTTAAAATATGCATCCGGCCTTAAAATTTTAGGTTCGGAGCCAATCAAATTGCAAAATTTTGTTACACAAAATTTTG